GTCCTTTTGTAATGAAATACGACTTCGCGAGATCTGACAATTCAGTTATTCAAGTGGATTGTGTCATACCATCTGACGTAAAATGTGCCTCGTGCCACCGGCCCCTATTTGGTCGATTTAGAGGTGCATATATATATGTTTTTCGAACTGTAACAGTGCTCATTCCAAAGTAGGGAGCGACAAAAAGACAGAAACAGTAGCGGAAACAGCAGTGAACTAATTAAAGCAGAACGACTAGCGTGTTAACAGCAGCAGCAGCGGCTCTGACGATGCTGAAGCACAAGAAAGAACTGCCCTGGTAGGAAGCGCCATCATGTCATGGTGAAATGAGGTAAAACTGCTGACATCAATAAAAATATCGACGAGAGACAACTACGGCAACGCTCGCTCGACGTTTACATAAATACAGCGAAAATACAGCAGGCGCCGCTTGTAACGCCAACATAAGGTGTTGTAGGCACGATTCGACAGAAAAATCCCACAAAAAAGCGCTTGGCCGTAACAACAAACCATACAACAGTCATTCAATCAAAACAAAATTTAACCACAATGACACAGGTTTCATTACTAAACGAGTCGAGAGATAGAGTGAAGAATCGAATGAATTTTTAATCGACAAGAAGGTGTTATGATACCGGCATATGTAAACATTGTCAAGGCTGAAAGAGTAAGCGTTGGTTTTGTCCTTAGGAAAACTATTTTTTGTTACTGTGGCCTTATTCCTGGCCACATTGTTCAGCCTGACAAAAACTACCAGAACAACGAACCAGTGCAATATGGCCCTGTTGATGAACTCTGACAAATCCTGTTTGAAGGTGTTTTGAAAATTTTTGTCTTGCTCTGTTTCTTTATCTTCCTGTACTATGGAATATCGAATTACCACATAAACTTCGCTTTTGACACAATACGATGAACAACTGTTCAATACGTTTTACGATGATAGGATAGCTCTAAATGCAATTATGAGCATACGCCAACGCATGCTCGAATAATGCAACAATTTTGCTTCTAAAGGTAATCATGATTGATGCTTGTTTCTGTCAGTGTAGCCTCGATCGAAACGGCTGCGGATTCGCAAAATTGCCGACCTGTGTTCTTCTGAACGAATAAAATCCCATATATGAACAGCGAACAACAAAGAGAAATTCGATTAGCCACACGCATCAACGCTTTAATAAACTTATTAGGATGTGAAAATTCAGCTGTGGTATAGCAAATCACGAACCGGTTACCAACAGCGTTAAAGCATTTTGTCACTATAAGATACCACACGATTGGAAACATCAAATTGAAAAGCCGTTGTCGCTCCAACCTTATTAGCGAAATTTCTTGAACCGCTAGAGTGGGTTGATGTCGCTAATAAAATAGTGCTGTTAGCAGTCGTATCGCCTGCCTTTGTTATTTTAGCATTCAGAAATTATGCAGGCGTTTCAGATACCAGCACGACTTAGCCGAATTATCCAGCTTTTAGCCATAGACGACGACGTGCGTAAGGACCACGTTTACCGTGGCTCGCGTAATTGCACTCTGTCCATTACCGAATGCAAATAATTATAACCCTACGATGTAAGATCAAGGGAAACTTGTTTGAGATGACGTAAGCGGACTTGGTTGTAATCACCTTGTAATCAGGGTTCTGGAAAATCGAGTTACGCTAGGAACATGCTGAAAACAAGCGCAGATCGAAGCAAATGCGTTACAACCTCTGCCACACAATTCGGTACATTGAAGTCTTATTTAAGAGTAGTATTTTCGTTAAGTTTATTGTAAAACAACCTGAATTAATATTTTCGAAGACCCAAGTTGGACCTTAAATATATTATAACAGGTGTGTCATCAAAAATACTCTAAAACGACAAACACCGATAACATCGACGCAGATAAAGAGGAGATTCATTTTAACAGAACAAAATAAGAAAGAATGTGCAGCAATCGAAGACAAGACCTTTGAACACAGATGAAAGCGTCCAAACTCAAACCTCGGAGCGTAAATGGCCTATATAAAACCAGCTAACTTTTCCTGGCAAAATTTTAAAATTTAATTCATAGATAGATCTAGGAAACGGTAAAAATGCCACTCGAGAGCTACCGTTATATCTTATGATCTTATTATATTATCTCTTATATTATCTTACTAACCAAGCTGCGCCTAACTAGTCATTGAGTAAGGTTTTAAACCTATAATGTCGTCAACACGTGCAACAGTATGCGAGATAATATATTATATCACTAAAAAAGAAAACAAGGTATAGCAAAGGCATATATTAAAAAACATCCTAACTAATCGCCTCACTAAAGCAATACACGTTACCGAATTACTGTTTAAAACAAAACTTTGACTTGTGGACTGTTCGAGCTATGGACATGAGTCCGAGCAAAAGTAAAACGCACAGAAAATTTGCTCTAGATATTAAATATCATCTAAAACTCTGCTCCTCCTTCAACAGTCGGCATCAAAGGAAAGTTCGAGAAGAACACTGTCAACAGACTTCGAGTGCCATACGTAGAGGTGGTTTGTCCTGTGATACTGATAAAGCTTTGACTTACACGCTGAAGCGCGAAGCTGCAAGTATTGCGCTGAATAAGGCTGATTCGCGAGGCGCCAATGCAAAGTATGATCTGAAGGACGAAGTTTGCTGAGGAGGGGTTGTTCAAGTGTCGCTGTTGTTATTTCAGCCCAGCTAAATATATAACAGCATAGGACGTCTTCTCGACGCAATGTCCATCGACAATACGGCGGAGAGTGAACTGGCCAGCGACGTGTTCATTGAAGCAATTCGACGACACAACATCAAGTAGCATTGATACTTGCATTTGGAAGCGATTAGGTTCGTCCTCTAGTGGGGAGTTTTCTCTATTATTACTAAGCCAAAAGGGCATGTACAAACAGTTAAGGCTATTAGCTGAAGTAACGAATAACCAAGTTTTTCTGAATCAGGCAGAACTCTGATTTACGAAAATGATAAGCTACTTGGATTGTGAGACTAGAAAACTCATACGGTATGACTTGCAACCTCACGGATATACCTGTTCCTCAGAAGCCTGTGTGACAGAGTACAACTCTCGAAAATTTTTGCATTTAATGTTAGTTTACAAAAACTTCACTTGATGGAGGCTTCAAAGATGCAGATTTGATATTGCTACTACATTTTAGGCCACTGCCCAGTTAACGTCTTCATAATTTTTTTATATCGATAGAGGTAAATAAATAAAACATCTATTTATAGATCTTAAATCTATTAAAATTTAACTATTGTGAAAGCGCGGCTCATTCTCTTAGAGACGAATGATTCAGTTTTTAGTCTCGTTACGTCGCCACATGCGCGAATACAGGTAGCACACGGTCCTAATAGTCAGGAAAAGTGTATTTGCCAAAGAATGCGGCTTATGTTCTGGCACATTTTTATTCTGATCTTTTTTTGTCGTTTTTACAAATGAACCTTCGCTGTTTCGACGAAATTGCCCCATAGATTAGTCACGGACGTGTTTTGTTCGCGAGTTGAAGAGTTTTACGTCGTTTCGATGACATCTACTTCATTTTAGCTGACAAACGCTATCGATAGACAGTAGCTTAGTCATTGAGCTTACAATATTTATAGATACTTAGATCCATAGAGGAGGTATCGTGTGGTGGTATCGTAACTGGCAAACAGCAATGGGATCGTATACCTACATAAAATGTAACACTTCATAATTTCGTAATTTAGTTACAGAAGGGGGGTACATCACTATAATAACAAGATACATCTCGACGCTACTGGGAGAGCGCTTATGGCAACGGAAACTTAAACTTACAGAATTTAACGGATAATTGAATAGTCGTTACGTATCAGAACTTGTACCCACAGGTTGCGTCCTCGTTGAAATGCTGAGTATTTCTTAGATTGAAACTCAAGCATAAAGGCCTAGTAGAGCGTAAGTTACCTAGTAGAGCGCGCTCTGCCCTTGTTTTCCTATCCAACATTGAGCACACGTCCACGCATAGTTAGCGAAATAAACTTCTGTACGTTTGTTGATACATCAGTGCGGGCGAAGTTGATGGCCGTCGTGGTGTTTGTGAACGGCGATGCGATATTGTTTTCAAATGTGGAGACTTGAAAGAAAGGAGTGTCGTATGTTTACGATCAATAAAACTAACATGCGATCTATTAGTAGAAGCAAATTTCTCTTTTTAAAGGCAAACACTTGATCAGTTGGCTCTATCTTACGCGCAAATTTCCCAGAATGAAACTCTGGCTAGCTACAAAAGGTTCACTCTAATTGGACCCCCTTAAGAGATCGTTTTGCGTCGAACAAACCCACTACCCCAAAACCCTTAGCAGGCCAGTGGACAAATAGATTGGTAGAAGATGTGTAACGCAGTGTAGCAGTGGACGAACATTATTAAAGAGAAATTTGAAGTCAAGCAAATTTAGCAAAATTAAGACAAATATCGGACCTGGTAAGCAAAAACAGGGCTAGCCTGGACCTAAGAACCTTTGTATAAAAAAGACAACTAAAATTGTTACACCTATACCTAAAGCAGCCACCTCTCTCCAGTTATACTGGCTGGACCTGAGCTTTCAGCAATATATTGAACTAACTAAAATGTTGAAGATCTCACAGATACACACATTTGAATAGACACGTAAGGCTTACTCATAAGCAATCAAAACCCATTTACTATTGCTATTATATTCTGACCACTAAGGTAATGTTGTTGCTACTTGTATTCAAATGCCCAGGACACGAGTTAATCCGAATACCCATGCATCTACTACAGGTAGTACTGATACAAGTTCAAAATCTACGTATGGAATACTTCGAGCGCTGTCGCAACGGATAGCATAGCTTCTCATGTATGCATGTCCTTTGAACCATGCCATCACCTAGGTACGGCCAAATGCGCGCATACGAGCGTAGGAACATAGGAATGCCTACTCTAAAAACTCGTAAAGCTTTATTGGTGCTACTCATGAGACAATTTTATTCTACCATTATTATTATTACTATATACTAACCAAATTTGACGAAGCCCTGTAAAGTCTTGTCCTTGGAGAGTGACGATCGCACACATTCGTCGTATAGTAACAATAGACAGTCAACGAGAGAATCGACGGTGAACGCCGTACCGCCGACTCGAATATGGTTCCGGAGAAACATATTGTCGACGCGGGACACACGCTCCTTTAGACTGCCTGCCATTATCTATATGTGTGCGGTTCTTTTCGCTTTTCAACAAATGACAAGTGACAGCGCAAAGGATTTTGACACGAATAGATTAGCTAGCGACTGATGCTGGACAATCAGCGTCAGCCTGAAAAATCAGGCGACACCGGAAGCTGCTAGATGAGGTTTTTTCCAGACTCAAAGCGTCCAGTCTACATCGGCTGGCTGACGCCAAACACTACGAGGCAATCTTCACAATGGCGACGCGAATGTGCGAAGCCTGTCTCTCTGTTTGTCCGTCTGTTTTCTGAACCCGGACTATCGAGTCGGGTCAAAGGAAGTATTAAAGATTACGGCAGAATGGGTTAGGAATACGTCTTGCTATGGTTAGCTTTCATTACTTCTGATAGAGCCGCTGTTGTTGTTGGCGTCGTCGTCGTCGCGGTTTTTCTGACTACCTACTACCACTAGGTCATTGCCAACGCTGCATTTGACCTGCCGTGATCCAATTAGATTGATGAGGCTACAATAAAACACATGATCATCACTATTTTCACCACGACAACCGTTATTACCACTGTAGATTATCCGCGCCGTGGGGTACTCGTTCTCGTCATCATTGCCAATATAACAACACACGCACATTGTCACGCTAGCACGTATTTCGCATATACTTCACGCTGCACTGATTACATGACTGTTATGCATGGCGGGGAGCTCAGCCGGTTTCTTGTACACTCTGAGGCCACGAACATCACACAGTGCTGGCAAGCTAGTACCGTTGGACCAATTCTGTGATACGAACAAGGTGCGACCAAAATCACCGACACCAACCTCGTCGTGTGACTGTCACTGCGACCACACGATAAGTCGATACGATCGCCACAGATCCGCCGAGATGCAGCATTCTTTCGTCCGTCTGGTCTGCTCTGCTTTACTTTTTACAATTTATGTCCGCAATATTCGAAAAAACTGACCTGTGCGCTTCAGGTTCACGCGACACCATCCTAGTTCGAACGCGTAGAGGGCAATGGCGGCAAGGTAATCCACAGTACAAGCTCCAGTCGTGGACCTTGGTTTAAATTCATTGCCATTGCTTATTGCAGCCTTGCCGACCAGTAGAATTGACAATGGCAATTAAAGCTTTATCCGAACAACTTGTCCAATCCGAGGGGAAATTGTTAAATTTAAAACTATTTCGAATAGGAGAAATTGTCCGATGTTGAGTCTGGCTGGGAACAATGTAGCAAGTAAAAATGTATTCCGGCGGATAAAGCCGTAAAGTGTGACAAGAAAGAAAATTTACTGAAAGCGAACGCTGTAAAGTCACGTCGATAGCGGTTGTTTTAGATGTATAGCTTCGTAGATCCTGGTATTGTGATAATTTGGTTTGTGTGGTCCATCCGTTGAGTACTTGGATAGGCTTGCATGGACATATGAAGGTCCTGTACCTTATTCAGACAATAGGACAGCCAGACACGCGTGGATTTGGCACCGCCGCTAAACAAATATTAGCGATCTCCTTCACTTCTGGACGTGCCGGTCGCTGGAACCGCCGGCAGCAGTAGTAGCACAGGCTGTTTTCGTTTCTCTTGTTCTAGTGTTAGGCGGTGCTGTTTCGGCTCAGGAAGGACCAGATCCAGTAAGGAATTGTTTTTCAGGCTTTCAACATTTAGACTTCAGATGATACCGAAGCTCACGAGAATGTAACAAAGCCAGCAAAATATCAATCTGACTCTGATGACAGATAGTACGGCGGCGGCGGCGGCGACGGGGACGGCGGCGGCGGTGATCGGCAAAACAACGTTATCCTCTGCGCATTTGTCGCGTTACGGACGCAGGTGACAGCGGTCATTGCCAAAGACGATGTCAGCAATCGACGAACCAACTAATCGTACAGACGAGGGGGAGCAGCGCTAGCGATGGCACAAAGAGCTGGATTCTGTCGCACTGGTCTGGCACAATCACAAACTAACGATACGGAGACACAGTGAACGACACAAGCCTCAGAGGCGGCCGCAGCCACAGCTCGTTATAGCACTACTGTAACAGGAGCACTGTTACGCTGAACACGAAGACGGCCGCTGGATGACAACGACATCGTCTCGCGATCGGAGTCGTCAAAGGAGAAGCACCACGACGACGACGACGATAACCAGCACTGCCGCCGCGGCAGCAGTACGAGTTAGAGCACTACAAACCAACGCACACGGAGGACTCACACGCTGACATCGACACTAACACAGACAGCAGCAAAGCGAATGCTGCGATGTTCTGTGTGTCGCGGCCCCTCTCTCATCATGCGAGCACAACAGCTCTTGGGCGGCTGTCACGTCGCGATTGGGTGTAGTAGGGCTGATGCTGTGGTTTTCCACTAGTCACCTCTAGCGCTGCTGGTGCTGCTGCGACCACGGGCAGGTTACCCCTCTCGTTCTACTGAAAATCGCTTCTGTTGCTGCTGTTTCTTCCTTCTATCTTCATCAGCTAATGCTGTTCTCATAGCAGCGACAACACCCTCCGCACCCGATCCTTCGAAACGAGCGAGCAAGCAGCCGAGCTACTCACTCTCCACAGATCTCCTCTTTTGCCCGCCGAGCTCCTGCTGCCAGCAGCCGCAGTCAGTAGAACCGTTCCACTCAAAGGCAGCACCGGCTTCACGGCTGCCGTTGCCACATTCGGTCCTCTGGCGGTGTTGTTCGGTCGATCGGTTAGTACGTCAGTTAGTCAGTCCATCTATCAGTCGACAACAGCCAGAGAGCAGTAAAAGCTGCTGCCACCGGCAGCAGCAGAAAGTCTGCAAGTTACTATATCTAGAAGAAAATTGGGAGAGGGAAACTGCGACTCTAGCAGCTGTCCCGCGACACCGCTAGTGCTGCGGCGACAGCATAAAGCAGCAGAAAAAGTATGACATCAACTTCTCTTGCCTGGCCCCCTACGATAGCTTCGAGCAGCGTCAGCAGCAGGAATACCACGGACAGCAAAAGCTCTCTAGGAGAGTTCACTCCACGACGACAGCAACTCGTTGAGCGACCTCGTCTGCAACTACAAATGATCCTGCAGCTGCTGCTGTTGGGGGAGAACAACGACAAGAAAGGAGAGCGCAGCGGTCCAAAAGTACAGAGCAGCAATAATCGTACGCAGCAAAGCTGATCGCCACGGTGTTATTGGACACCAGCGTCAGCACACCGTATCAGCATTACCATCACAATGACCAGTTCCTCTACCCGTATAGCCAATACATGCTGCACGCGTCATGCCAGCGACAGCAGACGGCGGCCAACAACGATGGATAGACAACGCAGGCTGTACAGCCTGACACGTCGAGATACTGCTACCGTGTTCTATCTATCCGCCCATGTAAGAGTGAGAGAGTCCATAGCCGCAAGCCGTCCCGTCGCACAGCAGCGAAGCGACAACAGCGCTAGCTTTGTTGTTCGAGCTGGCCCGCTGCTTCTCTTGATTGAGTTCGCGGAGCAACTACTCCACAGGCGGCGGCGAATGCAGCAGCAACATCGCACCTGGACACAAGCAGATCGACTGCGACAGACACGGAGAAACCCAGAATGGGGTTGCTTACGGCGAAACCGCCAGAAAGTCAGCCGACTAGGCGGCCATGCTGTGCTCCCTCCTTCCTCCGCGCCACCGTTGTTGTTTCTATTCCCGCTACAACTGCGACTGCTCAACTCTGTTACATGGTGAAAGGAAGCGATAAAATCTAATGGTGCAGACCGCCACTCTTTCTTTTGCTGTTACCGTCAACCTGGCATAAGTGGCAGACAAGCAGACAGATTCACTTCTATGCAGCAGGAGCAGCAGCACTGGAATGCTACCGCTCCCATGTAGGCAGACGTGACGAAAATGGCCACGGCGGCTGCCGCCGCCGCCCGCCTCTGCTAGCAAAACCCAACACACGAGCATAGCATAACACGTTCTATACAAGATACAAGTTCAGAAAAGGGAAAGGAGGAGTTTTTGAGAGGGAGTATTTGAAACTGGTCTGTGCGTTGCTGCACTAAAATAAAACTGTCTTCCTACAGATACCTAAACCGTTGGGAATTTTTCAAACGACTGGCAGCCAACAGGAAACAAAAAGTGTATATGCGGGAATCTAAACCTAAGCCTGGCAGACGAACGCGTTACCCCGCTGCGCTATGGCGGGAAAATTCATGCACTCCTTGTGGCGAGCCACGCCACTAAACGCTGAGCGGACGGAAAATCTGCGATGGAGCAGGACCAGCTCAATACTGAGTGAAAAGGTGTAGTACGCCCAGAGGCATTGTTCAGGTCGTGCAGTAAACAATATAACGGGTTCATTCCGCTGTTTAGGACTGCTCTCCTCCTTTTGCGATAGTAACAAAAAGAGCGACGAAGGAAAGAATAGAACGATAGTGGTTGGCTATATAGGAGAGGCTCAATTCCATAAACTTGCTTGTTGGGAACAGCTTCAGTCGGCGGGAAGCTTTGAAGCGACCAGTCAGGAGCGCGCTAGAGAGAAATTAAATAGGCGTAGCTATAGTCACCATTTAGCAACAACAGTAACGTGGAAAAAGGCTCACAGTTTAACACGCATACAAAAGACGTCTGCAGTGTAGGTTTAAGCGCTTGTAAATATGATTTGAAGCTTCTTTTTTGTGTATGATAAATTATGATTTTTCCTAACGGAAAACAATTAGTATCGACCAAACTGTTGAGGCTCAGCAAAAACCAGATGCGAGAGACCATCGTTGGCGATCGAGGAATCCTGGTGTGTAGTGCCCCGCTAAGGACCTCATAGTAACAACAGAATCGTCGATGGAAACAGACACTTCGTCGGTTTAAGTAGGGACCGGCGCGTCTGCAGATTCGAATGTTGTTGCGGAGAGGGTGACGTACAGCCAAAGTTTTGGTTCGCAGACAGGCGGCTATTTTTGTGTTCGGTAACAGGCATGAAGGGATGGGGGGGGGGACTGTTTTAGAAGTCCAGCTGATGTGACAGCTCCAAAAAAAAGGTTGCTATAGACACAAGTCATGGGATCGAATCATAAGGCAAGTTTTTGCGAATATTACATGTTGAAAACGTGGACGTGCAGATCATATAAACGCTATTTTGAATTATAAAATGATTGGATCACAGTGTAATTAGGTGACCTTGCCGATTAATACTTACGTACAACTTAAGGATAGAAAGCAACTTACTTAATAATAAAATCTTTGAGTCTCATTCAACATCTACTCGGCCGACAGCAGTCTAAGATAATGAGGACAATATAGAAATTTTCATTTTTAATTTTCACATCAACAGATTTTGTGACAGCGTTATTTTAGTGAACTATTCAATCTAAGCTTAGAATTATAATGCGCACAGTGTTCTTTAATTAATGATTTAAATTATATATTAATTAATTAAAAGAGATGGTGTATTTCGGTTGTTTTAGCAATTAACTGCTCGGGCCGTGGATGATCTGAACCAGCGATGGGGCGCTGTAGAATCAGCTCTTCGCATGGCCGTACTACAGGTGTTTTTGCCTATTTTGTTTTAAATAAGTTCATCTAAACATATGGAATACCCAAATATAATACGCCTATCTTGTGTTCCCCATCAAAAGCGATCTCTAAGAAAAAAAATGTATAAGATTTGCAATTAATTACAGGGAATCGAACCCTCGGATACGGTCGCACAGCATGTTCGTGTGCTATGTGGACAAGCTGATGGTATGGGCAGAATAGCGCAACTATGGCTGCTCACCCTGGCAGAGAAAGTGATCAAAAAGACGATGAGAACGTTCTTCGCTGGAGTAACGACTGTAGAAGATATTCTGCCAGCGCTAGAGACTATGACCATTGACGTGAATAGGTACTGATCAAAAAGGGTTTCCTGTCGACAGGTTTTCAATAGAGTATACTTCACTATACTTGATAAAATACTGTGTTCATTGTTTTAGTATATATATTATATATACTACAGTCAATAACATCACGTGCTTCTATTTGACAAGAATATTATCGAATTAGCCAGCTAATGTGGTGGTGCCGGTCAATAAAGCAGCATTACCGTAACAGTTATAATGCCGATTGCGCTGATATTTAGACTGCTGAGTGCCGCTCGGTGGTTGGAAGCGCAGTGTCAAAGTGTTGCAGAGATCGGGGAAGAAGCGATGGAGGCCGAATCTGCTGACTGTTCCCCTTCCAAGGGCCCGCAGCTTTCCTGTAGCCAGTCCGAGGGAAACAAAGACCGGATGCTCCCTAAGACTGAGCTTCTTGAAGTCGAGGTTCTCGAAGCGGTGTCGCGAATTTCTAGCGCTCAGCTTACGCCGCAGGTTGATGCGTTTATGTTGCAGCTGTTTCAGCAATCGTTTCGAGCGTTTCATAAGACCCAAAGGTAAATATGCCGCCGTATTTAACAATCCAATAGGAGCTTCACCTTCCAAATTAACGTATTTAACTCACTCTGGCATAACGTATAAATTGAACAGGGAATCATTTTCGCAAAAAATGTGGTTAATAATAGGTTTTTGTCTTCTATATAACGAATCCGAGGTATATAATGGCATTGAGTGCAATTTCTAGCATGACAACATATTATCACAATATAGTATTTGATTAGCTGGGTCCTTTTGCAATTTCAGCCGCGAAGATTGTTCGGAATTGGTCTTCTGTCCGGGATGTGGTGCCGATATTGTCGAGGACGAGGACACGGCTTGTAGGTGCGCGCAGCTGATGCGTGACTTCGTGCGAGTCAATGAGCTGCTCGACAAGACCCACGTTTTTCCGACTTTGCTACATGACTGCGTGCGTAGTGTGGCATTCGAACGCATCCGAGGACATGTCCGCGATACATGCCAGGGCGACTTCGAAAGCAAGTGTGCCGCTAATCTCGAAACGTGGCTTAATGACACAGTTGGCGCATGGTTACAAACCATTGCAGGTGAATTACGTGGAATCTCAATTGCGAAGTCACTGTTATTTAACTTTTAAATGTCGACTTAATCTGTAGTAGTTGCACGTTTTAGAGACTTGTTTACCTTAGTTTGTAACCGTTTTGGCTTCACCTATTCGGCCCATATGCAAAAATAACCCAGATTTAGGGAATTAGAATAACATATATGCATGTTACTAATAATGTTTTACAATATATTTTTATTTTAGGTCCAGCTTCATCGGTTGTGTCCACTTTCAAGAAGCACCTACTCTATTTCCTGTTGGATATCTTTATTGATTTTCGCGCAGGGCAGTTATTTGATATGATTGTCGATTTTCCCGACTCGCAACCTGCCCTCGAAGATCTCCGTGATTGCATAGCCAAGGTAGCTGAAATGTCTCCGGTACCGTTTCGTGTTTATGAGTTGTTATTTCGGCTTAGAGCAGTGAAAAAGAGGCGTAGATTGTAATCGCCTTTAAAGAAAAGCATTATGTTAACTTACATTAGTTCGATTCGGCCTTTTGCAGGTTCGCAGCGTCGACAAGCTCGTAGCCAAACTTCGCGAAGCTATGGAACGCCGGTTGTTTCATCCCGGGGTGAAAACTGCTGACATTATTACGGCATATGTATCTACGATCAAGGCACTACGGGTATTTGAAATTGTTCCTAGTCGATTGCGAGAAGCATAATTGGTCTCTATCTTAAAGCGCTTTTGCATTTTTGTGCAACACAAACAATTGGGCTAAAGTTCAGCAAATTATGTCTCCATGAAGAAACTTGTGCTTCAAGGTATTTGGCCTGTGAAAACATGTAAATGGATGTTTTGCTGTCATAGGCTGTGTATACTACAGACGCGTACGCTCTGTGCACATTTTACAGATTCTGGACCCGTCAGGCGTCATTTTGCAGTCAGTTTGCGAGCCGCTCTCATTATACCTAAAGTCACGCGACAATCGTGACAACACCGTTCGGATAATTGTCTCATCGCTCACAGACGAAAATAACGTTGAGCTGAGCGCAGAGCTCGCCAAGTGTAGTCAGGTTTATTTTTTAAAGAAACTTACGGATATTTTCTTTCTATTACGGATAACGATTTTGTATCGGGCACAGCAGATGCGTAAAGCTACTATGCGACCCTATTTTGAGTTGAATATCCTATTTAACCAAAGTTCTATACGTTTTTAGAAAGGTCCTATAGATTCGTATGGTGGGTCCTCAGACGATGAGGAGGGTGATGGCGATTGGCAGCGATGGGTTCCACACGCTAGGGTGTCAAAGATGATCAGGTCGGTTTGTTTTCTAAGGGTATAGTTCGTGAAAAACTTTGCCACATGCAAAAGACATACGGTGAAATAAATATGCTGTAATTATACATATTCCTGTAATCACTGCACGCTTATCATAATCGTAATTAGCAGATAGGAAGAGTTATATCGACCTAACTTATTTCGTGGATGTCTCAACGAGCTTAAAACACGCTTCATTTACAGGATATTAACATACTTATCATTTGAATTGTATAACTCTATACACAGGGATAAGAAATTCTGTTTATGAACATTTCGTTGTAATTTTGTCCTAATATAGCTACTTACTGTGGAAGCTCTCCCGGTTTATGATAAAGCAAGGTAGATTTTGTGCTTTCTAATCTGACTGAACCGTCTCACAATCAGAATGCTGATATTAAAATCCCTTTTATATTCTAATTAAGATCGTCCGACATAATCACATTGCTCGTGAATATCTACGGTTCAAAGGAGGTCTTCGTCGAAGAATACGCATCGCTACTGGCTGAACGACTTCTTAATGGAACCTCCGACACCCACAAAGAGATTCTCTATATGGAATTACTCAAGGTAATTTCTTTTAAACATGCCGCTGCCTATCATCTTTCGACTGTGAGAGTGTGACCTATATGTGGAAATCGTATTACATGTTCGTTTATGAGAAAATGATGGATTAATTTAATGCAGTAATCGAATTCGATTTGGCTGCATCAAGTGTAAATAATATACTAAATTTAAGATGAGACACACTTGCTGCTACAAAGTCATTCTAACGTCTGCGGAAACGAATGAGGAAGGGACCGTAAAAGATGATTTTTAATTAAACGAAGAAGCTTCGATAACATATTCAATCAGCCGATTTTTTAGGTTCGTTTTGGTGAAGTAGCAATGAACAACTGTGAAGTGATGTTGAACGACGTTAAGTATTCGAAACGCCTTCACACGCAGATCATTGAAGAGAAGTTGCAAGGGCAACTTAGGATTCCTTTTGATGTGCTTGTCGTTAGCGTGCAGTTCTGGCCTGAACTCAAAGAAGAAACGTTAAAAATTCCTCGTGAGGTACATATAATAAACGTGGTGCAATTCCTGCTGTTTGTTTCTAATTTCATCTCCTTCTACTTATTTTTCTATCGTGTATGGCATAACGAGAAGCTTTCTTTAGTTTTTGGTAGTTCAGAGATGTGCTCTTTAAATATCGCCTATGATACATTACACAAATTAGATCCTATTTACGCACTGCGATATCTGGCAGCTACAACAAGACGATTAAAAAGTTTTTCGTTAGGTGACCGAGGACTTCGATAAATTCCGGAAAGAGTATGAAATTCTCAACGGAAATCGTACTGTGAACCTTAAGCCTCAATTAGGCTACGTGGATTTGGATGTAGAGATGGATGATGGTACTTGCAAGACGTTCAAGTGTTCGACCGGGCAAGCTGCCCTTATCAACCTATTCCACGTAGGTCTCTGTACTGCATGATTTTGATTTCGCTTGCACGATCCCCACAAAATGATTTGTACTTGACAATGTTTGTAAATAATATAATATATTATGTTTTATCTTATTCTTATTATTTGATATATAAGAACTTGATAAAGCAAAGCACTTTGTTTAGCAAAGGAAGTTACATAATATGACCCTTCTCCACACGAATTTTCCATGGATTGTTGTTTTACTCGCTTGGTCGTCTTTGGCGTCCTTTCAAAAAGAGTGTTAACGTGATTTTTGCTGCCGGACTCATATGCGTAAAGTGTTGGCAAGGAATGAAAATGACACGTTTACATGTGGTGCACCTAATGTAATCAGAGACTTCTTCGCACTTGTATAATCTGTTTCATGCTTTCATCGTTGATTTGTGCCATAGGAACATAATCAGTGGAAGATGTCGGATATAGCATCGACACTAGAATGCTCCCGCATCACGGTGAAGCGATGGGCTTCGTTTTGGGTATCGACAGGTATCTTGCGAGAAGCAGCTGGCGGGGAAACACTCGTTGTTGCCGCTAGCGGTGAAGACGTTGGCGCTGAAACCGGAGTCGATGACCCCATTGACGAAGTCGATGATGACGAAGAGGATACTCCGAAGGCGAATAAGCAAATGGAAACCAAATACCAGGTAGCTTTTGCCATAAAATAATCCGCTTATATACTCACAGAAACTCGGGGTGAACAAATTCAATCGATGCTTTAATTATTTTATTGGTTTATTCAGATACTAGTTATATTATTTATTTATATTAATACGTGTCACTTATAAAATGATCAGTGTACAAGTTATTTGCATTTCTTAGCGAAACTTATTAATAGTGTATAGAGTACAAATGTTTGGTTATTATTATCTGTTAAGTAACAGCTGTTCGCTTGTTCTCAAATCTTTGTTGTCCTTGCTTGATGATTGCCTACAGCTAAAAGAAAATAAAGACTTCGAACAATTTTTTCGCAATTTCGTGTTAACAGGGGCATCTTCCATGGACGCGTTTATTCAATATCAAAGTTATTTGTTCAAATAAGGGCCTTAATTTCGTTCCTAAGTTTCAAAATTTTTTTTATAAATTCCTGAGTAACTTTTTAAGGATAACCGTGACTTGTTACAGCATCGCTTAAACATGTTAGAAAAAATGGTAGAAATTATACAGGCAATTTATTTTTAACAGTGATGTATATATAAGGTGGGGCATTCAAATTGGGAGAAAATTCTGCGGGCTGTTTGTCGTAGTGGGCATGCACTCACCCTTTTCTTTTAATACCAGAAGGAAGTTAGTTCTTTTTACAACAAAACAACAAACTCATAATATGTCGTTTTTGCTATTGCAGCGATGATCAACTATTATCTAGTCTTTCCGCACTGGACAAACTTGTCCCCACGATTGAAAGTGACTTTTTTTGGCCCAAATCGACCGTCTATATTATTGCTAGTTTCTATGAGGCTTTTGGAAGACCTAAAGGATATTTCTATGCGATAAAAAGATCGTTAATATGCTTTAGATTTAAAGAGCCCGAAAATCCATCGGAATTGTTCAAAAGCCATGTTTGACAGACTTGAGCTTACGATCGTTTTGAAGAGGACAATATCAATTGCCTATTAGATCGGTTGTACAAGCTTTAACATACAGTCTTTTTATGACCTTTTATGATCTTTTCAACTTTTTCACTGTTAAAGCCCTCGCATATTTGAGGCTTTTGGCCTGCTATTAGCCCAGCATTTAACTTCGTTGGGGTTTTTATTATCTACTGAATTCATGTTTACCAGTATCTCCTTATACCTGGTCAGTATAAATAAATTTCCAAAATAAAGAAAGAATATTTTGCAAATCGGCTGTTTGATCCCGAATTGAAGCTGCGATTAAGGGGAATTTTGGTTATTGTTGTGAAATATATCAGTTTTACTTTAGACTGCTTTAAAGCGATTCATAAGAAAACGTCTAGATTTAGATTCTTCACCTTATATATGAAGGAAGAGTAACAAAGAAAGGAACCGACTAATGACTGAAATCTAACAAGGCAATTACTTATTAACCATCATTTTGTTATTTACATATTGTTTACAGGTATATTGGAGTTTTGTTCGAGGTTTGTTGACGAACCTGGGTCAAGCTCCACTAGACCGCGTGTTCTCTATGCTGAGCATGTTTGTGTCACAAGCATCACAGGAATTTACCCTACAAGATTGCAAACACTTCCTCGATACGAAAGTACGAAGTAGCGAGCTGATTTACCAGGGTGGGGTTTACACCCTTGCGAAATAATGACATGCAAAACTGTATATGAGTTCTATGTATGTTTGTTAAATGTATCCTTGTTAGCTAGAGGAAAAACGCTCTGCATAACCTGATGTCTTAAAGGACAATTTGCTATAAATATGTTAACAATAAATATTACGTATTTATCTATCCTGGTAGTTACTGTAAACATAAGTTATCTAAAATGATCGTAATCAGCCCACGATTAGGTTTAAATGTATGTAAATCGGAATTTTTGCACGTATACGAGATTATTTCGTTAGTAATTTCATGAAAGAGAGATGCCTATGAAGCAATAAGTATTTTAGAGAGAATCCGTACAAATGCTTGTTATAAAAACCGTTTTTCTTGATTCATTTAACTGGTGTATACTGCCTAAGTTTCGTTCTCGAAAGAATCGATTGATGTCGAAGCAGCTTAGTAGTAATAAAACATTAGATCCACTGAGCAAAAATTGTTATCCTATGTTGTTATCCACAAAAAGCACTTGCCTTTTGTGTTTCTTCGACGAGGCCTGGGGCAAATCATTCATTTCTTTAATTAATGTTTAATTAATTTGTGGGAGTTATTCGCATTCTTAATATTTGAAAGGTCAAGAAGGACATACTCGGACGAAATGAACCTAAACCGTTGATCTTAAAGGAATTATACTTCCAATCTACGACTCCTGAGCAGCAATGACTAATAAGAAATCCTAATAATGTGCTATAGGTAGTGCAAAAAGTGATAAACAAAACGGATAAATATAGTAAGTAGAATGTGTTAATGTGTTGCGCGACAGTTGTGCACGGAACTTATTAAGCTAGAAAGTTTAAGGCTTAACCTATTATCCTCATATTAAAAAGAGACGCTTTTGTACCTACACAGTTATCGAATACCAAAAGTGCAACTGAAAATAAAATTAAAAAAAATTGTATCTGATTAAAGCATGCTAAGCCTCAATATTTGAAGCGCAGTTTTGTTTTAATAGAGAGTGCTATGTGTACGTGATCACTTGCTAGATAATCGTACTAACGACAATAATACTTCTTTTCATTTATTTCACAATAATAAGTTATTATCATAAGTAACGGCCACTTTTTGAACATTATTCCAATTTTAAAAATTGGCCGAAGGCTACTTTCCTCGGGCTAATAGAAACTTTCCTTTCACTCAGATATTCTTTCATTTGTGTTGTTTAGATTGCGTTTTTTTTCCGCTTTAGACTGGATGCTTCCACCAATAATTTCATCTACACGTTCCATTATAATGATAAAAAGGTAGTGTGAAAGTACTGTCGTTCTCTTTCTTCTGTGATTTTTCATTCTGTTGTCATTATAGTAATACAGATGTATACATTTAAAGCACATTCAAGCTTTTTTTTTCACTCGGTTACGCTATTTTATAAAAGATTAGCCAACGATTTCAGCCATATTTTTTCTGTAGGATTATTTTTCATCTGTTTTATTGTTTTCTGGGCGAGGTTTTTTTTATTAGGTATATTTTGTTTGAAACTGTACCAATTGCTCGAGATTCTAACCCTCAGAGTTATTTTTTTCGAAAATGCCTTCATTTTTTTCTTAGTTTACGGTTTATTATATTTCAATTAGTTCCCTACCCTGACGAAAGTATATGAATGGTTGTTTTTGCGAAAAGGTGTGTTTTGCACGGCAGAGAGTTAAAGAGTGTTTTTCAAGTAACTTCCGAAAAAACAGCTAATGTCAGTTGAAGCCGTTGGATCAACTCCGCCTCTTCGTTAAAAATTTCGTAAAGATCGAGACCATTTTGAGTGCTACAACTAGGCTCGTTACACGAGCGCAGTCTGACCTTAGTACTGAGTAATCTATGTCGTATCAATCATACACGTTCTGTTCAGTTTTAATTGCGGGCAGGTTTCCGAACGGAGAGCTTTAGCTTACAGGTAAGCATATTTTAGTGGATTAGTTACCTGTTTAGCTTTTAGGTTTTGGTTTAGTTAGGTTTTGAAAAGGGTCGTGTTTTGTGGTTTCGTTAAATGGGGTTGCCATCAATCGTCAGCGCATGCGGAGGAATTGTTACATCAAAGAGTGTAATTTAGAGTTCAGTCAGTTCGAATAGAATTGCTGCGAATAACGTCTGTAACTATTGAGTCATCAAGTCGGAGTATATTGCAACATGGAAAGCCTAAAGCAAATTGACCCCTCTTGAACAATGTAGAGAAACTTAAATGCAGTGGTAATGATACATGTGTATACATACCGCGGCGCGAGGCAGGATGACCGTTTATACAGCAAAGATCTAATGAAAGATGATTATATAGATTTCAGTGACCGACACCAATCGTGGACAACATTTTGTATTGGAGCCAATACAAAAACCTTAAAGATGCACTACTGATGACAAGTAGCTATTACTTATGCCTTTGTAGGCGGAACGGAAATTTATGAACATGTCGACGAGTTGCGTCCCACACATTGAGGATATAGGCCTTGCTTGAACTGAGGTCTGCTTTTCATCGAATATAATAAAAACTACGATAAATTACAAGCGTAGATTTCTTGAGCTTCTCATTCTGATGTGAAACATTTGTCCCAATCACAAAGCAGATAGCACTGGTAGGTTGAGCATGTGTAGAAATACTACCAATACTATACATTATATTCGCAACTGTATTTTGTTTTAAAGCATAGAAACAATCAGAATTTAATTGAAAGATCGTTACTATCGTGGGATTCTTGTCTAAGAGTAGTCCAAGTGATGATTGTGCTGTTCTACAGAAGCATGAACAATTTTACACACATGCATCCACATATGCACCACAAGACGGGCACCCTAGCAAAAGGCGTGTACTCTTAGAATATTAGGACACTAATAAATAATGTCTGACGAACTAGGCTTGTCACACTATGGTTTCCCTTTCTATAGAAAACTGTCTTTTTTATATTATATATATATATATATATATATATATATATATATATATATATATATA